GTTCTCGCAAATTTAATAAGTCAATATTGACTTATTAAATATGTGCATAGGTGACATACTTAACATAATAGATACCCTTAAAAAGATTCATAGAAAACACCGACCTTACCTAACCTTGTTAGTATCTTAAGATAAGCATCTTATTGCTTCATAATTACAATTATTACCTAACCTATAATAGGTATAGGTTAAGTAATAATTGTAATTACGAAGCAATAAGATGCTTATCTTAAGATACTAACAAGGTTAGGTAAGGTCGGTGTTTTCTATGAATTTTTTTTAAGGGTATCTATTATGTTTAGTATATCACCTATGCACGTAGTTAATAAGTCAATATTGACTTTACGAATTTGCGAGAACGGGTTGAAATACACGTACACCCCTAGCCATATTGTGTGTGACTGCCATAAAGCAGTCACCCTGAGACCTTGTCAGCTTTACCAATTACTTTCTTGGTTATTGTTTTGGGTCATGGGTCCTCTGTAAAAGTCTGGCATATTGAAGGGAAACTAGGAAGGAAGGAAGGAATTATCAAGGTAAAGCGCCAAGCCATTATGGCTATATAGCACTTGGAAGAGGTCAGGATAAGGATCTGGGATGGGACGGGAAGGGGGGGGGGGAAGGAATGGTGTCCAACCACTTAGATGGTTGGGGATTGAACGCCGACCTGCATGAAGCGAGACCGTCGCTCTACAGTCCAGCCCAAGTGGTTGGAAAGATCAGAAAAAGCCTAATATTAGGCATAAACGTCCCTGAACATGCACTTGGCATTCAGAGATTATCTGCTGTATAGTAGTGCATCTCCCTAAAGCGTGGCTATACCTGTGCTTAGTTTGGGTAGTTACCGAGTACCTTACCAGAAAATAGCATTTCAGTACATTCGATGCTTGATATCAATATTTTATTTACTACATATTTATATTTTTTAAATATATAGATTATACATTATATTTATTATTATTTTATATAACAGTGTTTAAAGGTTTATTTTGTTGTATTGCAGAAACATTGGCAGTTAACTATTTTCAGTTCAATGTTAATCTTTATTTTGTCTTTCGTATATACAGTATTCCTATCTCATTATCTTCCCTGCAATGCAAGACTAGTGACATTCTTTTAATTTTTATATATTCAATACAATACTAGTAGATGCATTTGATATATGACACAACTGTACAGTCCTTGACTTCTCTGTAAATAGTTTACACAGGACAGCATGGGCAAAACTTTTTCTTCCATATAACTTTCTCTCTCATGCAGTTATATCACTTGTTTTTTAAATATTTAGTTTCTTAATGAATCTTCATACTATTGGTTGGTCCGCCTCAGTTTATTTTGTGCATGTGATCTCATATCCTGTGTACACATCTTGTTATCCCTGTATTGTGCTCTTGTTTTCTTCTTTTAGGCCATAGTTATAGCTGGATTCCATACATCAACTTCCATTGAGTGTAGGTGCAAGGACTGCCAGTACAGATGCAGTTTAAACTCATAAAAGCAATATTGAAGGTATTTTGCCTGTCAAGTCTAATGATTAGATTTGGAATAGCTTGTCTGAAATAAAATGTTGTATTCTGTCGAGGCTTGTCCTTTCACAGTGTTTTTCTTTGTCATCCCTTAGCATTCTTCTTTCCATTTGTTTCCCTAGAGTTGTCTGTACTTGCTTATGTTGTTTGAATAAAGCAATGTTCGGTGTAGTGGGTGTTCCAATACAACCTCTCAGACATGTACCTGCCCTTTACACATTCAGTGCATTTGTGACTATATTCCTCATTCCACTCTTTAAGAGAATTACTCCATCAAATTTCCCTATACTTAAAGTGCTTTTGAAGTACTGTAGTTAGATTCTTACTGTAATCACCAGTCTCGGATACATATCCAGGGTTTTGATAGTGCAGTAGTTGGTTGATATACATACAGTAGTTAGAACTATGGCAGTAAACCTCCCCGATCCGAACTCTAGTGTACATTTTGTGAAACCTTATTGATTGAGTGATGATAACATTTATTTAAACGAGTTATTGCCAAGAACAACCAAGAAATATGGAACTGTAATGAAGAAATGCTCTTCAGTATCTGCTGAAGTCCAAGTTTCATGGGTGGGTTTTATGAAGAGGATTTTCTGAAGACAAATTTGTTGGTGGTTGGATATCAAGAAGACAACAAATTGGAGAGAAGGATTATTATGTAAATACAAAGCTAAGTGATGTGTACAATATATCTGAAAATATTCAAATTAGAAATCAATGAAATATGACCACCATTGCATTGTTATTAATTTGCAAACCTAGTTGAATACACTTATTTCAAGTTCGCACATGAATTAGTATGGACTAAAAACGTAATTACGATATTGTGTTTTAGTGTGCATAATTGTGTAATCTCGATGTTGAAAACAAATATTACTGTATATTTGCTTAGTGAATTGGCACTGGTGTAAAAAATGAAACATTTGGCTCCTGTGTCAATGTGCTTCTAATCTTCAGTTCCAAACCAGCCTTGCCTCATACACAGTGGGAAAGTTGACTTATCCCAGGTAAGCCAGAATTTCCTCAAGGCAAACGCAGGATCCCACCATATAGTTCGGTTTTGGGGGAGTTTACTGTACAGTATAATGATAATTCGAACACCATGTAGATGTTTGTGGTAAATGTGTATATTGGGCCAGCAGTGTGAATACATGAAGTTAACTGAGTATACTGTAATTCCTAAAAATTTTCAAAATAAAAAATTGCAGTAAAGCCTCCAAAGAATGAAGTATGTGAGGGGATGTGTTTGCTAATATAATAAGTTTTATTAATTCTTTAAATTTACTTATAATAAAGTGTTGCTGTCATGTAATATGTTCTAAAAATGAACATTAAAGGTTTTACTGAATGAAGATTTATATTTGTAATGCTATTTGTTTAATACCAGTTGACTTACATGTACTCTGCTGACTGACACGACCACCACTTTTGCTTTTTACACAAACATCTTATTTGGAATGTGTTGAAACATCTGGGGGGCACAGGCTTGTTCTCTTTCTGAATTATACTCGTGTAGTGTATTTTCACTAACTAGAGTAATTTATATGTACAGTAGCCCATCTTAGAGCCTTAAAACCTTCCCTGTTTGCACTAGCATTGCTTGTGCAGCACCACTGAATTTTTTCACCTTGATAAGCTATTTTTTGAGGCAGCCCCAATTGAACTCATACCTTTTACTTTCTTTCAATCTTACTTTGTTTTCCTGTTTACATTACGTTTCTACTCATTTAGATGCACACACACTCTGTGGGGAAGCCCTGTCAGCTCCCTGGAGCTATTGGACAGATACTAGCTAATATTAGCACTGGGCTTCAGTCTTAGAGAGTTGTCATGCCTACTGGGGACCACTAGCCAGAGCATGTTCCTCAGAGAGGCGAAGGAAGCAATGGCCTATGAAACTCTTATGTATAAGAAGTATTCATATCTGCCATCGACCGGGGTTGAACACCCAGAAAGGTAGGCACTTCAAAACAGATCCCTCCTGGTAGAAAAATTGCAACCTAAGACCGAACAGAGGCAAGAAGTGCTTGCCTCTGGAGTGCTGCTGCTGCTGATACTGCTCCTTTACCATGACTATTATATTAAGTAACATAATAGATGTGGAATCGCTAGATTATTTCAACCTTATGTTAGACATATACAAGTGAGTTTGGTTGGGTATAAACAGCTGCTGCCTCGCATGGGCCAACAGGCTTTCTGCACTTTTCCCTATGCTTATGTTCTCTTTTTAATCCCTTCTCTGGATTATCTCTGCTTTGTTTCTTTTCAGTAAAGCCATTGTCCTCTGTTGAAGTGCCCTTGGGAGGAAGCTCTATGAGGTTACTGAGAGTGCCCTCACAGAAATGAGGCGTTGAATGTAATGAAATACACTCTTGGTAGTCTCTCGGGTTAGCACCCCTTTCCCACCCTGTTCCCTTCTTTGCTGTGGAGTGTTAGTTCAATACTGGCAGCTGATTGAGACCCCAGGGGCACCTGGGCCATCTTTAGTGCCGTGTCGTGCCGACTGTTAGATTTGTGCAGTTACCTTGAACTGGCCTTGAAATGGTTAATGCCTCTCTCTTAACTACAGACTAACTGTTTACTTCATGCTGCAGTGGTGCATAAATCGTGGGTAAGCAGTATCATGCAAGTCCTCGTGCTTAGACTATTTCAGTGTTTTTTTTATCACTTCTTTTTCTACAATTGCTCTTTTTTATTTTATTCACAGTATATATGATCTTCATCCTTTGCCATTTCTTTTTGTTTGAAACCGGACTTTCCTCCCCAACCATGATCTAGTTTTCCAAATAGCTTTTCCTTATTTTCCATGGTAAGAAAGCTGCTCACATCCTTATCCGATGTATCCATACTGCTATTGCCTCATAACGTGGCTGCAACTCTCAAATAATATATCGAAAAAAAAGCCAGTGAAGATGATTGAATAATGCGAGGTCACACCACACTTGCACCACACTCACACGAGGAAAACACATTGTTGATAGTGTACGTACGTCCACTCAGTAGGTCTGGATGTCTCAGACAAATGATCGCACATAAAGATGTTTGTTTAATATATCATACAGTACAGTGCAACCTTAATGAAACATTTCTAATATTTAGATTTATTATTTTGAATACCTACAGATGAATAGGAAGATTAGTAAAAATTATAATAAAAACATATGATTTGAGGTGAATGATGAACAGATGATCAGGATTTTTTAATAAATCTGATTTTCAGAGTGAAAATCAATTGGGCAAATTTGTCCATTATTTGGAGGAGTTCATTCATAGGTAAGTCTGGAATTTAGGATACACTGTTTAGAGACAATGTATACTGCTTTTTTCATTTATACATTAGTTATATATTATTGAGTGGGTAGCTGTGCCTCTGACAAAGCTTGTTCAATGGTAAGCATTTTATAATTTGTGATTAGCATTCTTGGTTTAGAGTACGAGCAGTATTGTAATGATTGTTTTCCTTATATGAAGGTTAGTGGGCAAGGTGGAGCAGCAAGTGAAGCCTACTTTGAGAAGTTCCCACTTATGAAAGTTCCCCCAAAAGCTGGGGAATTTATTGCAGTGAAAGTGTTGAGCCTGGATGAATCCTACTGCCCTGTCTACTCCAACTACCTTCAAGCACGTGTCATTAATGTGAATGGACTTACGGTTACTCTAAAATATGTTGGTAAGTTGTTAGTTCATATATCTAGTACCTGCAGCTTTCCCACATTTCAGCTTCTTCACCTCTTCTGTAGATATCAGCCTTCATGCTTCTCACACCATCAAATCCAATCATGTTCACAGTAGTACCTCTTTCCACCTTTTAACCTCTTCCTATATTTGTATTATTCCAATTTACCCCACCATGGCTTGTACTGCTCTTTCTTCAATTTTGCCTAAAGACCGACCGACCTTATTCTTAAAGACCTAGAAGTTTATCATACTTCTGAATAATTTTCTTTCATTTTTGTTCCTTTTACTCTTTCCATACTTCGGTTTTCTTGCCAGGCAGCTGACTAAACAAGGGATGCTATGCCAATGCTGATGATACTTTTCAAGATACAAATGCTTTCTAGGGTGGAATATTGTTGCACAATAACAGCCCCATTCAAAGCTGGAGAAATTGCTGACCTGGAGAGTGTGCAAAGATCCTTTACTGCTAGAATCCACACTGTAAAACTTGTAAATTATTGGGACATTAAAATTTTTAAATCTGTATACTTTAGATTGCACACGAGAGAAATACATACAGTAATAATTTACACTTGGAAAATATTAGAGGGAATGGTTCCAAGCCTGCATAAGGAAATAATATCACATGAGACCAGGAGGAATGGCAAGATGTGTAAAATAGCCCCTTTGAAAAGCAGAGGTGCAGTGGGTACTCTGAGGGAGAACTCGATCAACATCAAAGAACAAAGACTTTTCAACACGCTCTCACTACACACAAGGTGCATAATTGGCTGGTCTCTCGCGGTGTTCGAGAGAGAACTCGATAAACACTTCCAAAGGATACCTGATAACCAGGCTGTGATTCCAGCATCAGGCTGTGAGCAGCAGCATCCAACAGCTTGGTTGATCAGACCACTAACCAGGAGGCCTGGTCAGAGTCTGGGCCTCAGGGATATTGATCCTTGGAATCACCACGAGGTAACCATAAGGTAAGCTAACAGTGCCAGTAAGTATGTGTCAGTGCAATCTGTACTTGTTTTCCCTAACCTAGTCCGAGTTGCCATTGTGCAACTGCAGTCATTGAAGATCTGCCCTCCTACACTATTTTATTTTACAGGAAATACAAATATCCTGCCACTGTATCTTTCCAAATTCCACTATTGAATGTAATGAAATGTCTCTGTGAACCCCAGTGGCCTCCAACTACTATATAGCATCTGCCATGACGTTTTAATTGGCATGCTGGGCAAACAAGGACACGCCAAGGTGCAGAAACAATAGACAAGTCACATTGAAGCAAAACTCTAGGCCGAGAGACATAACCCAGGGCAACACAGGCACAACAAGGGCTAGGAATATTAACCGAGTAACAGACTGACGGAAGGAACCCTATTAGACCACTACGCATGAAGATCAATCGAGGACATATTGGCGAAAGCCACCACAAGACTGGCATACTTATGAATATCATGGGCATGAGGGTAGACTTGATGACACTGTGGCCTTGGAACAGGACCAAAGAAACTGGATCTACCCACAAAGCATGCACCGAGGTAGAATCGTTGGCACAAAAGTAGCTGTGGAGAGCCACCACTGGACACAGAATGTGATGCACCCTCGGCCTAACCAGATCAACAACCAAGGGATACCTCTGGAAGTCCATAGTACTTCCAGTACTATGGAAGTAACTGTCACTAGAGATAGTGACAGTTGCAGACGAACATAATGCTCACCGGGCCCAAAGGAAGACGACCCCCTGCTTCTGGAGGGGTCATCTGGTAATTCACTTGATTTCTCTGGGGGTTTACTTGATTTAGTGTTAAATCATGAAGCTCTCCAACTCTACAGAGACAAGTGTTAACAGAAAAAAAAAGAGCCTTAGAAAAAGAATCACTGACTGAAGGAGACATTATAAAACAAAGAAAAAATGCATGAGCACAGTCAAAGGATCAAGCAGATTCAGGTGGTGCATAAACAGACTGGAGATGAAATAAAAATGTGCCAGACAGCTTCTGAAACAATGCCAAGGAAGTGTCGACACTGAATGCAAAAAGCCGCTGCTCCACTACCATTGCACGATAAGAGGCGACAGTATTCAATATGAGATGCCAGTCAAAAATATGAAGGAAGAAATGAAAGGAAGTGGCAAAAAGAGTGCCAAGAAAGCTTATACTGCTGCCAAGAAGATAAATGCAGGTGGAACACCAATTCAGCCACCTACTTGCCATAGAGTTGGGTATAAAGGCACATGAGAAATACTAAACAAAAAGCTAAGGAGAAGGTCGAACCATTGAGGTATGTCACTGGGCCATTCTTCTGAAAGAGGCAGATCCGTATAAAAACACCTGGCTTTGGACACAGCATGCAGTGCCTAAAATCAGGGCAGAGCCAGCCACTAAGAGACCAGAAGGACCATTTTACTCTAAGCTCCAACCTGTCAGGTAGGGGCCTGACTGCTGAGTGGACAGCACTTCGGATTCGTAGTCCTGAGGTTCCGGGTTAGATCCCTGGTGGAGGCGGAAACAAATGTGTAGTTTCTTTTACTCTGATGCCCCTGTTACCTAGTAGTAAAATATGTTCCTGGGAGTTAGACAGCTGCTATGGGCTGCTTCCTGGGGATGTGTAACAAAAAGGAGGCCTGGTCGGGGACTGGGCTGCGGGGACACTAAGCCCAAAATCATCTCGCGATAACCTGAAGAAGATAACCTGCCCAGGACCCAGAGCAACAGCTGGACTAGGGAAAATGGTACAAAAAACCCCACTGAGACCAGTCCAACTGAAAGGTGTCCCCACTGGTAGGGTGCCGATTCCAGGCCAACGCAAAGATATCTATATCACAGTGCCTGTATGTCCTGCATAGCCACTGGAAGTAGTTTGCATTGACAGTCCACTCCATTGACAGTGACATTGGAAAGAACCGGGATAGACCATGCGCAAGAGCATTGGACATACTCCAAATGTCAACACTTTCCCAATCCTGTATTACGTCTTAAAATCCTCATTTTTACCGTACCTGAGTACCTGGAATTTACTTCTGTTAAAATCATGTTATTTTCTGCTACTTGGTCAAAAACTTTATTAATATCTGCTTGTAGTTTTTCAATGTCTTCAGCAGAGGTAATATTTATGCTGATTTTTGTCATCTGCAAAGGATGATATGAAGCTGTGACTTGTATTTTTGTCTATATCTGGTATGAGAATAATGAAAAGTAGTGGTGCAAGGACTGTACCCTGAGGAACAAACTTTTTAACAGCTTAGTGATATGAATGTAAAGAAAATGGAGCCAACCACCAAGTGGAATTGCAGTACTGTACATGTAACGAAGGAAAAGAATCTTCTTGTCCTTTCCCTGTGATAAAAGGTTCTATGGAAGTTAGAGGCCAACCAAGCTACTGGCATTTGATTACTTTCCAGGTATCCAATTACTTTTATTATATATACAATATTTTTTAAGCAAAAATGTATAAGCAGCATTTTCCTCCTTATTAACAGATAAAATCAAGTCCACAAAAGAATTAGAGGCACAGGAAAACGTGGAAGAGGTAGATCTGACCTTCGAGGAAGACGAAGTTGACCTGACTGAAGATGGCCTGAGTAAAGACGCTGTTGTAGAGGAACTGGACTGGCGGGACATATGCGAACCCAGATTGATTTTTCCATAATACATGAACATAAATCTGTTGTGTTTGTATATAAACTTTTTATTATTATTGGTATTTCATGAAGTCCATTGAATATTGTGGCTGTTGGTTGTTCATGAACACTTGCACTAACCGCTCGTGTGTGTTGACAAGCAGTTGGTCTCATCATCATCATCGTAACAACAACAATTACAATTCAAATCAATTTTAGTGAAGTATATCACTAAATGAAAATTAAATTGTTTCAGAATATTTTCTTACAAACTTGATGGAATAATATGACTGAGAGTACAGTACAGTATTGGTGATACATCTGATGTGAGTACCAACTGAGTGCTTTGTAAATGCTAAAATATCTTATATATTACAGTATATATTGAATATCAAAGATGATTTTAATGTATTTTTTCTTACCTTTGTTCTAGACTTTGTCATGATTTCTGTTTATAATAAAATCTTACTTTACTTCATTATGTAATGAGCCCTTCATTATGTAATGAGCCAGTATGGAATCTGTTACTTTTCACTGAAGTGAGTTTTAGCTATGGCTACAGGCAGTTACTGACATCATAGTTCATGTTTTCTACCAGCATCATTAATCTCATTACTGTACAGTGCTTCAAGATGTTTCACTTACACTATAGTTATTCCTTAGTCATCAGTCATCATCATCACCCTTAATAATGCTGTCTCGGAATATTTTGCATTTACTTTATAATCTTTTATTTCGTGCAGTTTGCACAAAGTCATTTACACATCTTGGCTACGGTGTATTTTTTATTTGTAAGTGGCTAGTGAAGGCGTCGGTATGTGACTGTCAAAGTTACAACCATTCAGCATCTGGACGAGTTAATTTACGCGGTTAGTTTTAGCTCTGTCGGTGTTGAATCTTATTACTAGTAGATAGTGGTTAGAAGAGCCGAGAGCTAGAAATATATTTTTTGTAAGCTATTGGATACAGAATGAAGGGCTCGGGTAAGAGTGTTATCAATAAGTTAGTGTTATGGCAATAGTGAAAACACGTATTGGAAAATTAATGAAGCCCAAAGTACGTTGAGCATAAGTGAAGACCCGACCAAGTGTACGAATGGGAGCATGACCACATTGTGAAAGTGTGGCCTCACATTTCTACTCCTCCAAGGGAGTAGAAAAACTCTCAAAACACTCTCCAGGTA